GCCCCGGGCGTTGGGGAAACGGTATGACAGGGGCTGTTTTCATGCCGCTCACTGCGGATCGCAGAGCAGGTAACGCCGGGACGCCCCAACAAGAGGCACTAAATACATCGTTAGGGCCTTAAGCCACTCATCCTGCTTATGACGGCTTCTGCCAGAGCCCCTCCCTCGAGCCCGAGGTCAAACCGTTCCGTGCATAAATTCTGTGCGCGCGCCTATGTAGCATGACTGTGGCCAACCGACCCTGTTAGCTGACACGTTTGTGCATGTTTGCGAGCTCGTGCGTGGTGTTGCACGCTCGGGAGGGTCTGCGACTTACGACACCCTCCGGTGTCGCTCATAACATATGGAGTTCGACTGAATTGTATACACAACCAACTGCCCAACAAGACATGGCGAGTTGTGCAATGGTTTCTGCTTGGAGCCAAACAACGGACATTCATTTAAAAATTCGGAGCCAAGTCGAAGCCCGTGGAGTCGAAAGGGCAGGCGCTAGCCATAAATTATGTTCTAGATTCCTGGGCACTGAATGAAACAGCATAACAGTGTCAATAGTCCAGAATTTGGCCTTAGGTCCTTAGGATATACCTTATGAGCTATATGATCTTTTATCGATCGTGCCTGCACCCCAGAGCTTCAAGCTGAAAACGAATAATTAAGCCAAATTCCCTGGAGCACGGAGGCGCAGCACAGAACCTGCTCGCCCGCGCGGCCCCACGATCTGCTCGGCGACAGCATGACGTCACCCGACCATGACGTCACCGGCGCGGTGCCGATCCCTGATAGGCGCGCCTGCATGACATCAGCCGTTCCATGCACCGCATGACGTCACCGCCGAAATGAATGAGGACGGAGTGACCTTGACGGCGCGGCGTCCGCTCTGTGGTCGCCACCAGCCTGGGACGATCTGCACGAGGCGCGTGGGCGGGCCGGCCCGGGCCAAACACCGTCTAAGCCCGCTGCTGATGAGTAAACTGAGCCCACACTCGATGCAGAGCTTCATCGCCCGGTACTTGCCGCCCCCCCCCCCCCCCCCCCTGCGCGATATCGGGTTGCACTGGACCGATGGTGGTGACGTCACCGGTGCGGTCTGCTGCTGGCGTGTATTCGGCCCTGGTGCGTTCTGCGGCTGTGCTCCCTTCTGGACGTGGGCGGGGCGTGACCCGCGGTGTCGGCCATGGGTCCCGCGGTCATGGCTGCTCAGGTCACGGTGGGTCCTGTGACGCATGTGTTAGAGCACAGTGCGTGCCGCTGGCATATGTCAAGTCATGACTCGTGCTTCAGACTCATGTGTCAGGTCCTGACAGGTGTTGAGGTCATGTGTCGAATCGTGACAAGTGCTGAGGTCATATGTCAGATCATGAGGTATGCAGCGTTCATGAAATAGTTCATGGCGTACTCCACGGTTGTATACGTGGGGTGTGAGAGAATACCTGTGATCTAGTGAGTCGGAGGCGAGCCACCGGGACAACACAACTTGCACACGCACACATGTTGGGCGCATAAGGAGCGTGTGTGCCTGTGCTGACGTTTATGGCCGCCGTCTGCCAGCCAGCCCCCCCCCCCCCCGAAATTCCAACTCCGCTCCCACCAGGGTCCAGGGCAGAGGGAATGAGGCAGACTCTCACCAGGGTCCAGGGCGGGGGGACGCAGGCTCTCACCAGGGTCCTGGGCAGAGGGAGGCAGGCTCTCGCTAGGGTCCAGGGCAGAGGGAGGCAGGCTTTCGCTATGGTCCATGGCAGGGATAGGCAGGTTCTCACCAGGGTCCATGGCAGAGGTAGGCAGGTTCTCACCGGGGTCCAGGACAGAGGGCGACAGGCTCTCGTCAGGATCTAGTGCAGATGGTAGCAGGCTCTCACCAGGGTCTAGTACAGAAGGACCCAAGCTCTCGCCAGGGTCCAGGGCGGGGGGACGCAGGCTCTCACCAGGGTCCTGGGCAGAGGGAGGCAGGCTCTCGCTAGGGTCCAGGGTAGAGGGAGGCAGGTTCTCACCAGAGTCCAGGGCAGAGGGCGGTAGGCTCTCGTCAGGATCTAGGGCAGATGGTAGCAGACTCTGGCCAGGATCCAGGGCAGAAGAAGGCAGGCTTTCGCCATGGTTCAGGGCGCAGAAGGAGCCAGGCTCTCACCAGGGTCCAGGGCAGAAGGATGCAAACTCTCACCAGGGTCCAGGGCAGAAGGATGCAAACTCTCACCAGGGTCCAGGGCAGAAGGATGCAAACTCTCACCAGGGTCCAGGGCAGAAGGATGCGAACTCTCACCAGGGTCCAGGGCAGAAGGATGCAAACTCTCACCAGGATCCAGGGCAGAAGGATGCAAACTCTCACCAGGGTCTAGGACAGAGGGATGCAAACTCTCACCAGGGTCTAGGACAGAGGGATGCACGCTCCCTGCCCACCGCACGGATCACTCGGACTCTGAGCCCGTCAGGAGAGCAGCGCTCCGTTGGCTGGGGCCGTTACTGTCCACCCGCCTGGGTGCGAACACCGTCTGTGCTCCTGACGAGCACCAGCGGACACCGGCTGTGCTCCTGACGAGCACCACCGAACATCGGCTGTGCTCCTGACGAGCACCAGCGAACGCCGGCTGCGCTCCTCTGACGAGCACCACCGAACACCGGCTGTGCTCCTGACGAGCACCAGCGGACACCGGGACGCAGCTGGTGACGGCCTAAGCTGCCCCCCCCCCCCCCCCAGGCGGGGACGCCAGGCGTGAGTCAGTGTGCCGTGCACGCCGGTCTGATTACACTGAAGCCGGCTGTTCAGGGCGGGAGGGTGGGAGGGGGGGGGGGGGCGTACTATCAGCGGCGCCTGCCAGCGTTATCAGGGCTGCAGGGTCATGCGGCCTTCTGACTCATTGGCAGACGCGCACGTCAAGACCGCGAGGCGTGCCGGGTCTTCCGGCGTCGCTGGATGGCTGGCTGGGCGGCAGCAACTGGTGACAGTAAGAACGCACTGGAGACTTCCGACGTGATAAAAAAGGTTTTCAATATCAATGGTAGGATGTTCAGGGAAATTTTTGTCAACTTTCGTGGGGTAGATCCGTTAAATGCATGTGACTGAGCCCTAGGACATCTGCCTGTAACACGAAGCTCGCGATTTAGTACCGATTATCCGATTCAGATCAACATCATGTTAAAACTATTTCACAAACGCCAGCTAGGAACTCATGCAAAAAAATAACGCTGTCAAAATTCGGCAACCACCTCAATGGAATCGGATTCAGCGTTCCTCAACAAAAACAAGTGGGATGGATGTTAAAATACGACTTACAGTATCTAATCATACCACGTTGCCATTCAATAATGTTCTGCCGGTCGGATTACTCGCCCTCGCCTGCGACCACACACTTACGCTATCGTAAGTGTACGAGTGCCAGTCTGAAATCTCGCTGGGGGTAAATGGCAGTGGTTGTCTTATCGGGCACGGCGACTGTTGGTAAGCGTACGAGTGCCAACCTGAGATCTTGCTGAGGGGTAAATGGCAGCGGTTGTCTTATCGGGCACGGCGACTGCAGATCTCGCAGCAGCAGCCACCACGTATCTCGTCCGCAGCAGCGTCTGCCCAACCGGGCATGCCGCGCGCATCTGCTAAACACACCTCGGCTCCGCTAATGGACGCGGCAGCCCGGCAGGTCACGTGACCAGAGCTGCAGGGCCGGCCGAACGCCGGCACCGATGGGAGCGCGCGAGGCAACGGAGGCGGACCGGCGCCGATCTGACGTCCCTTCCATCGGCACGCGCTGTCGGCCCCGCGCACGCACGCACGCATTCATCAGGCGCGCGCCGACCTGGATCGGGGCTATTTTACGACGGCCGACGGGAGTGAACGCCGACGCTCGGGCCCGCTCGGATGGCGCGCCGGTATTTTGGCGCGCCGGGCGCGGTCGATACCTCATGGCCGACTGACGGGCGTCGCATGCAGCGACACGCCACGGCCGCGGCGGCGGCCAGAGTGGCGCGACCCGGCGGCCAACTCTCGAGACGAGCCGCGAGCAGGGGGTGTGCAGCATCCCTACGGCCTACGTCCCTGCGTGGACGGCCCTTCAGTGTCCAGCACTGCAGAGGCAGAATTCTTAAAACGTGGTTGCAAATGACATAAGGAACCTTCAACCCCCTGGCCCCTGGTCGCAAACAAAAGGGCAGCGCTAATCTCGGGCCGCCCTGGAGGGCCATAGTTGCAACGAAAGAATACACTCAGCTGTTGCGGAAGCGACTCCAGTCCATGCACCGTCAAGCCCACATTTTAAGTTGTGGGCTGGCCTGCGGCGCTTTAAATCCAAATCAGGATTCGCTGGCTGCAACGCTTTCAATCCAAATTACGACTCGCTGGCTGCAGCAGGCAGAGGCGCGGAAAGCGCGGAGGGGTGGGGGGCTGAACCTCTCCAACTTCCTGAAAGTTTAATACTGGCCCAATGGCGCTGACCGGAAAGAGGCAGCCCAAAACGAATATCGATCCCAAACTTGGCGGCACCGCCGTTGCCCCTGGCAACGGGTTGCATGTGCATTGCTGCGTCTGATCTATGCATAGAGCGGCCGGTTTTATCTCTGCAGAAGGGGGCCGGGCCCGTCGTCGCGGACGTGCCGGACCAGCCAGGCAGGCGCTGCGGCGGTGGGGGCGGGGCGCTGGGCCATGGGGTGGGAACGGAGGCTGCCTCGTTGGGAACGGATGTCGGGTAACCCCAATGAGGGCATTGCGTGCACGTGAAAAGTATGGCAATTCAGTGGGTCGCCTGGGAGCGACACCAGAGATAGCCATGTCGGCGATGTGCTGGACAATGGGACGTACCGGAGAACAACAGGCGACGGCGCAATAGGTGGCTGACGCCGGCAGATCTGAAGTAGCCACTGACGGATGGATCATACTTCGGGGAGCACAACACAGGACTTAAGACGCCAGAGCAAAGCACCCACTCTACTCGTCTGACTCTCGTGTTCGCAACCAACGAACCCGAGCGATGGAGACACATTTTGCGCTGTCCGACCTAGAGCGCGTCGGCGGTCCTTACCTGGCGGCCAGATCATCGCGCTCGGTCTTGAGGTTGCCTAAGTCGATCTGCAGCTTGGCCCGCTCCTTGGCCGTCTCGTCCAGCAGTCGGCGCGCGTCGGCCAGCTCGCTCTCGTACAGCGACTTGATGTTGGACACCTCGCGGGTGACCACCTCCTGCGACGAGCGCACCTGGTGCGTCAGGCGGCTGTTCTCGATCTCCAGGTTGCGAACCTTCTCGATGTACGCCGCCAGCCGGTCGTTGAGGCCGGCCAGCTGCTCCTTCTCCTGGAGGCGGGAGGTGCGCGTCGGGCTGCTGGGCGAGCGCGAGCGCGCCGGGCTCGCCGCCGCCGAGCCGCCCGACGACACCGACGTCACCGTCGTCCGCTTGTAGCCCATCCTTCCAGACATGGTGCCGGTGCCTCCACTGCGTTCGGCGGTTTCAGCAGCACTGCCGGCGCGTCTCCCGCGTCCGTGTGACCTCCGGGCTCGGCCTGCCGGCCGCGGGCCCGGCAGCCAGCTGGCCAGGCTCCGCCCACCTCATGACGTCAGCGATCGAGCCGGTCCGAGCTGCAGGCGTCCACCCTCCCCACCCACCTGCATTGCCAGCCGATTCCCCGAAATCTGCTAGAGGTGCAAACCAGGCGTGGGCGCTGTGGGTTGAAAACAGGGCGTGTTCAGGGAAGGGCGCTGGGACACGCTCCCATCAAATTCTACTTGTGCTTATAGTCAACGGAATAATTTTTGCATTAAATTTTTTAGCACATGTGCAAAAAAATAGAATGAGAACGTGTTGTGTTGATATGAGCCGTGCAAGAGATTGTGCGTATGGTAAAGGGGAAAATGAATTGTGCCCTCTATCCAACCACCCAGCCTCCCACCCAACCCATTACGAAATCCTGCATGTGTCCATGGCTGCGTGCCAGCAGCAAAGCCATCGTGAGGAACTGGGATTAGTGGTGCAAATAATTTATGAAAGCTAGGCCACGGATACCGTGTAGACATGATGCATGCATGTGCCGGCGTAGATCCGACAAGCGGTCTTCACCCGGCGCTAGGATCGTACTCAATGGGCGGGGCCATGCACTATGCAGCTCCGCTCTTTCAGCTGAAGACAACATGCTCAGAAAAAACAACAAAAGATACGCGAAAAAGATTGCAATATGGATACGCAAATATCACTGATGATGAGTATCTCCCACTTTTGGTCTCATCGTTTCCATACAGCCGTCCATAAACGCACAAAAACAATGATTTTACATAAGCGCCCACATTTGCGTTTGATAACAAAACACAATGGGCTATATCTGGATGTAAGTTAAGATTTTGATGTTATCCATACTGATCAACATTAGGGTGAATCCCACTTAGATTATCCTCAAAAGTATACACCGGACTAGCAGCGCTCGCTGATGCTAGATGTAGGAACTTTTGTCGTGACTATGTTGGGGTCAAGTCCAGATTTCCGCATTGCCCCGAATCATTTGGAGTTCCCTGGAGTGATTTTCATGGTGTCAACATTTGAAGTGGGACCTTTTTATGACGATTTAATGAACATTAAGAAATGGAGACAAAACCGTCACCGTAACATGTTCAATGAGTTTCGTAACCACCCGCGTGGAAACGTTACACGCATTCTTTATTGTGTGGTGCATTGAAATCGTTTTACATAAATGCGTAGTAAAATTGGGCCTATCTGATCGACACAGCAAGCATGGTAACATCAATATAGATGCGAACTACCTTATTTCCACTGCGTTCAATAGGCGTTCGCTTTTCGCTTGGCGGTAGCGGAGTCAGCGTGTACCTACATACTCATCGTAATCTATGGCCATGTAGGGGATGAGACCTGGCCGTGTCAGTGTCTGGTGATTCGTATCAACACTTCCTTTTATTCGAGGTCCTATTATGTGGAATTCCGTTCTAAATGTGGAGAAGTCCCAAAATATCGCGGCTAAAACGTCGCGGTTCGCTCGCAGTCGTGACAGTTGCCTCTCCGGTCCTCGTCTGGGAAGAGTGATGAAGCGGCGTGGCAGAAGGACGAACTGGAAAGCGGAAAAGAGCGGTGAAGCCGCGGTGGACAGCCGGATAGAATAAACTGTTATGGTTTAATTGGGTTATTTTACTAAAGCGACCATGCCAGAACCATTCTTACATGTTAAGTGCGTGGGCGAATGTCCCACAGTGACCAACTTTGCCTTTGCAGTCGTTCATCTCTGCTTCCATCCCTTTAGATCACACTCGCGTACCCCTAAGCTTTTATGGAGCCGTAGGTAGTACATAATGGGCACCACTGCCGACCCCGTAGCCCAGTTGGGAGAGCGTCGAGCACTATCACCAATGTGGGGAAAACATGTTGACAGTCAGTTGGCACCTGGCCAAGAACATCAAACTGAAGCGTGGGCGGTCGCGTACCGATATCGCGTGGTACGTTGAAGCCTAACATCTAGCAGCTTCCCGTTGAGCTGTGATTGCTTTACTAGGCGGTGCTGTCATGACCTTCGTCTCGAGCCGTCCTCACAAATGTCTCCGATCTCAAAACCATCTCTGCCTGTAAAAATAAAAACGTGTGACGACCAACGTGACTGGAATCGGACGTCCGCACAGCAGTTAGGTGTGCGACGTTCAAACGCTTAGATGATGACAGCACCGCACTGGCTTGTGGCCGTGCAGAGCCTTTAGGAGTGGCCCCTTATTATGATTTACTAGACGCGCGCAACGTCTATCACGTTTAATCGAGAACGCCGGAATGTCTCAGGGCGCCCAATTCGGTCAAGGATTTCAGGCGGGACAGTGAAAGGTGCCCTTTTAAAGACCCACTCCGTCCGATCGAAGGGTACACCCGCGCCGGCCGGCACTTGTGGACGATGTAATAGCCTCCGTGGTTCTGAACGGCATTGCAATGTGCGGAAACTCAGCTGCGCTGCCCCTGATGCGTGACCAGCGACTGTTCAGCTTCTGCGCGCGAGAGTGACCTCTGGCCGACGCAGACGCGGCCAGGTGCGTGGCGCTGTGTGCGAGCTGAACCGGACGTTTGCACAGAGCTTTGCTATAGTGCACAAACCAGCGCGGTCCCGACAGCGGCGGTCTGCGTTTCACACAGCCCGAGATTTCAAACCTCTGGCCGCTGTCACTTGGGAGAGCAATGCTACGGCTTTTCATACGGTGAAGCTAGATGACTTGTCACGCCTGTGACACCTCGTGTGTGCGTGACGGTGCACATCACGGTGCATGAGGGCAAGTAATCCATCCACTTCGCCATCATGTTTGTGCTGATTGCATTGGCGTGAGCACGAGGAAAGTCGCACCTGGTTGAGCTCTAAACAACCACAGATACGGCGGCTACAGCCGAGACTTGATAAGATAGGCGTCGGACCCTGTGGCCGAGGTCTGACAGCTGCACCGAGGTCCAGCGCCACATGTAGCAGCATGACGTCACGATTTTCATATGTGTTAAGGACCAAGCACTCAAAGCACCGTTTGCAAAAACGGCAATTTCATCCGTAATGGCCGTTGTCCATTGAGCTGATCATCAATTTGTCGCTCTAGGTTTTCGGAAAATATAATCTCATTGTTACGTTAAGTCATTAAAATGATTTCGCCCATCTGTCATATCTTGACCTGTAGTTCCATTGCAATGATTTAGTTTTGAATAACGAGCTAGTAATTTTTGTTAACAGTTTTGTGTCTTCCTTTTTGTTGGCAGTGGTTTACGTTGATATATGTTGTACTTGTCATTTCGTTGGTCTACTGGTTGTTTTATAATTACATCCTGGTAATACGCTTTCATGAGCTAAGTTACGTTTGTGTTTGCTTATTAGTTCTTACTAATTATTTATTTATTAGTGTCATGATTTATTGACGTTATTCACGTGAGAGACAGCCATATGTTTGATCTATCCAGACTCAGAATCAAGTCAAGGATCATCCAAATTTATTGTGAATCAGGGTTGATTGGAACGATTGGTGCTTCAGAGGATGGGAATATTTTCCCACGTACATGGAATACAGATATTTACTTTGATTTGAATCACGTGATTTCAGTTATGCTGGAGAACCCATCTTGTTGATTCAGAACCAGTCAGAATAAAGCATGGCAATTTGATTGAATGAAAATCTTATTCGAGTTCCCATTTGGAAAGTAGGTTTATTTCAAATTTGGCTTCGATTCGCAGTTATTTCATTCAGAATCGACTCGACTTATGAGAAGCTAAGCTGACGCAAGTCGGTTTTAAGAGGACACCAACGAGGTGTGCAAGTTCTGTCCGCTTTGTGACTCGTCCGGCGTCCGTAATGGCGATCGACGTGGAAAGACCGTGAATGTTTTACGCATCGTTCTTTTGTCAAAGTGGGCAGCAGGGAGATTATATAGCTCTCCACTCTGTGCCTCCTCCAGCTATAACTAGTGAGGACACGACTAAGATTTTGTTATATCTGTTGATAGCTTTATCCTTCAGCTGCATACGTAGCGATAAAGTTTATCGCAAATTGCATTGCAAGCAAGAAGATTGATTCGTTACGGCGTGCCGACTAACTGCGCTCGTCTGTGCTATTTCGAATTTTGTCTGGATTGCGACATGAAAAATGTTGGCTTGCTTTGTCAATGAGTTTTTTACAACTTCTGCAGCCTCGGTTTTGGTTGTTCAGGTAGAAACCATGGGTCCACATACCTTATGTAAATGTCAGTCTGTTTTCTTGATGGCGATAAGTCATGGCAAGTATGTCAGTCCATCATTAATAGCAAGTCAGTTCATTCACATTCACATCACATATCGTCGTTCCATTGTATCACTGATACAACATGTACCATGCACATCTGATACAGCACGCGCCACCCGACATTTTGGAAGAAAGTGCACGCCACCCTGCAATCCTTGGCTGGCAGGCGCCAACTGTTCTGCGGTGTTAACGACGCATGTACTTCCCACCACTCGGTACAGAAATCAGATTGGTCTAGTTATGCCGTAAGTTCCCAGACACATATCCAGCTCCAGCCCCCAGACAAATATTTACACTGATCTCTATAGCATTCAACGATACGCAAAAAAACGTTGACCGCGCTTATCAAAGACGCGTGCACGTGTGCAGTCGGATGTCCACTGAAAGGATGAGAAAGCTCGTATGCGTCAGCTGAGGGGCTCAAGACTGCTAACCACCGCATAGACTTGGGAAATATCGTTCTGATGCTGCTTGGATTTGATGCAACTCACCCCTGACTCTCTCATATTTTGTAACAGCTTGTAAGCACTGCGGTATCACATGGCCAGTGTAACAATGGAATCATGCAAAGAATCGCAGGTTATCGTCTTGTGCCATGTTGTTGCTAGGGCTTAAGATCAATTGCGGCCGAATGCACATCGAATTTCAATACTCGGCTTAAACTTTTAGAGGTTCCGACCAGGCGAATTCAGCTCCTTGCTCTTAGCCGATGGGTTCATAGCGGAGGAATTCCTCCAGGGTTTGTGTGGTTCAGGAACGTTTGAATATCTATGCAAAATAGCCCATTGTTCAATGCTGTCGGAAATAGTTGTCCCCATTCAGTTCTCCAGTTCCTGGGCCACTAGTTCTCCTAGTTCCTGAGTCGCGCAGTTCTCATAGTTTCCGAGTCTCTCCGGTTTCCTAGTTCCCGAGCCGCTCAGTTATCCTGGTTCCCGAGCTCATGCACGTGAATTGGCGTGTGGAACTGCTCCCCGCTGCATTCGCTGCATGCTCATAGTATCATAATGCGCGACAGTTTATCGTACCACGCACATCACGCTCGCTCGCTATAGACAGTCGTGAGTGTGCCGATATAGTGAGAGAGCCGGCGATCTTCTGCTGGTCCGCTGCCGATAAGTTAGCCAAAAGTGGATGTCTGTGGCACGGCCAGTGTCCACCGAGCCCTTGCTTCGTTACCGTTACCCAGGGTACACCGTGTGGAGGTAGACCTAGGAACATGGTAGCCATGATGGCGTTGTGACCACTTCCCCAACCCCGCACCCCTCGCAGTCCGATAAAAGTTGAGGATTCGCGAGCTGAGGCAGGTGAAAAATTCGGGTGATATTCACTAGCGTCTGTCAAGTATAACTTTTTACAACAAGGGTGATATTCTCGTGCAATTGGGCCGGAAAACCAATATTTGAGAAAAATAAGTTCCTAAAGTGCCTAAAGTTCCGTGCCCACCTAACACAACCTGAAGGTGCCGGTAAGCTTAAGCGGCTGGCCTGCCTCCTGGTGACGATGCTCTAATGCACATCCGAAATTTGTTGGGGGGGAACGTTAATTTCCGAGGCCATCCACCGGAAATTAACAAGTGTATTTGCACACTCATCGACACCGCAGCGCGCTTCAAGCTCTTGGCACTGCTCAGAGACCATGCCATCTTTGCTGTGGGACCTCCAGCACCGCGCCGGTGTGCATACACGTATTCAGCTCGAAACGCCATGTTACATGGCCACTCAACTTGGCAAGCACGTGGAATGAGTAATTTGCTTCGGATCAGCGCGCTTTGTATGAACCAACCGTGGGTTTCCATAGTTGGCTGATGGTACGGAGCCCGCTGGAAATGGCACCGAACAATACAAAGATTGACAGACATTCAGCTCGCTTCAGTGCAATGGCTGAAATTCCGGAGAACCGCATCTCATTTATCAACTTACAGTCGTCAGGGAGTGATATCATGCATATCAGGGAGTGATATCCCGGTGCTGACGTCTTCCTGTCACTGCTGACCCCGAGCCGGTGTTATAGTCGTGAGGCATGATATGAGAGTTTTCGCACCAAAGGACATATATGATTCCAAGCATTTTTCGATGAAATGAAATTCAGTATGCGTGCACTTATAACTTTTGATTGCTTCACCTGCCTCCCATTCTTAAACATAATGTACGCTGATAATGTTACAGCGGTCAGTACAGCAGCATTTGGCACGAAGTCGCTGTTTGAGAAACTGCTGGCCGCTGTTGAAACAGACCTAGGACCCTAACTTGGACGGCAAGGACTTCAACAGTCCTGAGACGTCATTGTGGCGACAGTGTTAGATCCAGTTTATTTTACCTTCGTGTAAGCAGTTACCTCCATCGCAATAATAAGCTGTTTGCTCTGTATTGTTGCAGTGCTATTTCAGAGGGGCGAAACGGATATATATATATATATATATATATATATATATATATATATGTATATATATATATATATGTATATATATATATATGTATATATATATATATATATATACTTGCATGTGTTTCTGGCTTTTTGTATTCTTGATATACATCCATTGACTCTGCCGTCTATTCCCCTTTGTTTCCAAGAGAGTCCAGTCCGAACCTTAGAGTGTCGTATTTCACGGACGGCAGCTGCGCACTCGTACGCTCCCGTGAGACACATGCAGGCGGCCGGCGGCGTCTGACGAGGTCTGCGGAACCGCATCCGATCCTGGTAACCCAGCACGGTGCTGCGGAGACGACGCGCTGCTTGTGGGTGAACGGATCGGAAGCTGTCGGCAGCTGTCCCTGGACAGGGTGCTGCCCGGTGGTGGCCGGCATAACTCCACATGTGCAACCACTCCTTGCTGCGCTTTGCACGTGTTTGTGTAGTCTTCTGTCCCTTGCAACGTGAACGGAAATAGAACAAGCGCCTCGCCTTCTTCATGCTAGGTTTTCACCTCTCTTCCGGCTTCCGGCTGCTGGCGAGGGTCGCGAAGGTAGCAAATACGTCATAATGTGATGCTCGGCCTGATAAGACAGGCCAACGCATAGGGCATACAAAAGATAAAGAGGGCAAAAGCTGTGCCAACACGCTTACGAATTTTGCGTCAGAACGTCAGGTATGTAATATGCAGGGGCTCGCTGGTCACGCTCTGTGGAGCGTGGCGAGGCGGCCGAGTCCGGTAACAGTTTAAAGTTGCATGCATTCGTCGCCAAACGAAGGGTTTTCCGACACGCCGTTGTAGCAAGCCTTTGATGTGTCCGAAATCCTGATATGCCGTGCAACGTTCCATGAGGAGCATGTTGGCATTCAGTGCCGCTTGATGGCGCCACGGTCGCTGTGCTGAACTGGTTTTGGCTTATGGATGCAGTTGTCCTTTTTTGCGAGACTTATTCCAATGGCACCAAGTTTTTGCCCAGGCAACTTCAAACCCGTAGCTGACAACACCCATCGGGAACTATTTCGGGGAAAACGGACTTCGCTTCCGCCACGTGTTTCTGTGCAGCCATCCACAGGAAGAGGGTCCTCATGCATGGATTCCTGCTCCATGTGAGACGCTAAACCAACACCGCTATTACTTACAACACACCATGTAAAACCAGTGTCTCTTCTAAGACAGTGCACGCGACAGCACTTACGTGTAATAATAGCAAAGTAGTAGGTTTGTTGTAGGCAGGCACCGTGCGTGGGGGGATGAGTGAGAGCTGGAGTGACACGGCAGGGGGAGGCAGCGGTGGGGCGGTGCACGTCCTCCAAAAAGATCGGGAGTGCCCCTTTTGCCAAACTAAATGCATTGTGTCTGCAAATAGAGCACCAAAATTCATATCAAGGAAGCCCCCATTACAGCCAAATAGTGATCAACCGGGCTCAGAACTCTGCTACAAGACCCGTTTTTGGGTTCTGAGGCCACCTTTATGAATATGGTAGCTCATTCTCTACATCAGAAAATCCAATGATGTGCTGAGGAGCCCCCTTTGTTTGTTCGTGAGGCCCCGTTACAAACTAAGGGGCCTCTGTGCTGACTTAAGAGGCACCCTCTATATTAAGAAGGCCCCATTTCTGAGACAGAGGGCCCCTTCCAAGCATCAGATGACCGTGGTTCCGGATAAGGACGTCCTGTTCTTGGGTAGTGCGGCCCCTTGGTTAGATTCGGAGTCTCCCTTCGCGGATCGTAAGCATCTTGTTCTGGATAAGGAGGCCTGTCTATGCACCGGGAGGCCTTATTCTGGAACAGGATGCTCTGTTTTAGGTCAGTGAGACCCTTTTCTGGATAATTAGAAGGCCTACTATTCTATATTTGTAAGCATCGACATTTAGAGGCAGAAGAAAGAGAAGAGGGAGTGTTCAACAGCCTTTACTCTAAGTTCTTCGTACTAAAGCTAGCGAAAATAGAACTAATATTATGGTGTCCGCAGACAGCTATAACCTTTAGCTTTAAATGTAAAACGGCCAAGTTTTGGAGAGCACGTATAGGCTTTTCAGTGCATAGCCTTGACCGACCTGCTTTGAAACGAGGGAACTCACCCCACCCTGGGATAAGTTGCATGACATAGACTTTTTTGTCATAGATTAAGCTGCACAGCCCGCAACTTATATGCGTAACGACATCCAGGCCAGATGCGCTCGTCTGTTCTACTTCTGAGTTCATGATGATTGTGACATGACAACTGCCTTCCTTTTTTGTCAACCAGTGTTTTTTATGACCACTGTCACCTCGGTTTCGGTTGCCAAAGTAGGAATCGTTGGTTTCATAGACAACATAAATGTCGGCTTATTTCTTGGTCATGGCAGCCATGTTATATTCAATCATTGACAGTACGTCAGTCAATGGACATACGGACGGCACGTCGTATTACTGATACGACATGGCCATGCACAGCCGATACGACATGTACCGTCCGACATATTGTAAGAAAGCTCGTACCACCTCGGAATCTATGGCAAGCAGACGCTAATTGTTTTGCAGTATACAGACACCTGTCACATGAACCACCACTCGTTATAGCATTCGGACTGGTCTAGTTTCCCGCACGTCCTTAACCCCACATTTGCCCCGATTTTTGTAGCTTTCAATGATATGCAAAAACCACGCCGCCCTTATCCCAAGAGCTGCTCACGTATGCTGCCAGAAGTGCGCTGAAACATAGAGGGAGCTGCTGTGCGTTGGCTGAGTGCCCCAAGACTGCCACCCACCGCATATATTTGGAAAATGTCACATTGACACTACTGGGACATGACACGACTCACCCACTATGTCCCGTGTACCTTGAATACGACAAATGTAATAGTTCGGATAAAGGGGCACATGCCCTCGGCGACCTTTCTATCGAATATGGCGCTGCACAGGAGGCTGTCCTGTGAGGAGGCCCCATTTTGTCAAGGGGGCCTCCTGGAAAGCCCTCCCCCCCCCCCATTTTCGGAACCCACGGCACCGCCCCTGGGTGCAAGCATCGCGTGCAATACGTGCGAGTTATCGCCTGCATGCGTGCAAGTATTGCCGTTGAATTCGCCACCAGAGCCAAGGGGAGCCATTCGCACCTTAAGCCCGCATTCTTTTTTATTTCTTATTTTATGTTTTTTTACCAGTAGACAATTCCCGGCAGAGGGTTAAAAAGCGGCGTGGTGCGTACTCATCGAGCCCCGCCCTCCCTCCCTCTGCAGGGAATCCTGGCTGCGCCCTTGCATTCACCAACGAACATTTGAAGAAACGAACAGTCAGGAAGCTCATTATATTCTTGCAAGCACCAGGTTTACTGCAAAATACCAGAAAAGCATGTACAGTCCATTGCAGCCTCAAACGGTTACTCAGGCTGCGAGGATCCGAGCCGTCCAGACTGGTGGCAAGACCAACTGCGCGCTTCCTATCGGCCGTAAAGCAAAACACGAGTACATTGGATGGCCGAAGTGTGACGCTGACGGAGCGAGTGGAATGCATGGGTCCTCCCGGGCAGCGGCAGCAGGAGGCTCAGTAGGCGCCGTCGCTGTTCTCGCGTACGCTGCCAGAAGACAGGACTCGGTTAGGATCGTCTTCTATGCAACCTCGCGCTCTAGCATTGCGATACGTCGCGGTAGTTTTAACCTTTGTGCCTTTGCTTGTCACAAAGGCGCACGGTCGCAGTAGGCCCAGTTATCAGTGCCCCACTAGCTGCACAAACCCCTCTCACGCAGAAAACATCATGATAAGGGGAAAGCACGAGCCACGCGCGAGCCGTCGCTGAACCACACGTACGATGTCGAGGCCGCATACGAGACAAGTGCGGAGTGACCCAACTAAAAACGTTGGACCCAGGGGTGAAGTTTGCTATCCAATTTGGGGGCTTTATTCCTACCACCACACCCCAGCTTCAGCTTCAGCCCCCCACCCCCAACTTTGAGAGTAATGTAGACCGAATCTGGGGAGAAAGCCGTTTGTTGGCGTATTGGGGTTGGTGGGGTCATTTTTATTTTTCGGGCACCCCACCCACCCCCATAAACTGATTATGAAAAGCTGCAGTCCTGACTGGGATATATGAAGTCCTGCGTGTCATGGAACGATGTCTTAAATCCCCCACCAGCCCAAAACCTCTGGAAGCCTCGCATCGCATGTTACGCCGACTAGCCAACTTCACCCCGTGCGTCCGTCTCGTCGCGCCGCTCTGGTTATGCGAGGAGCACACAAACACTGACGGAGTGCCGCTCTGATTATGTGAAGGGCAAACACACACGTTCTGATGGAGCGCCGTTTTGGTGATCTGAGGAGCACATGCACACATTGACGGAGCACCGCTCTGGTTATGTGAGAAGCACACACACACACACACACACACGCACTGGCGGAGCGCCGCCCGCACCATCAGCCGCCATCGCCGGCGCCGTGAGGGCTCGAGCTGGCGCCGCGTGTGGCGCGCGCGCGCACTCGACCGGCGGAACGGCGCACGCGGGCCCGGCCGTTGGAGATTAGTGATTTCTTGTTACTTAAGGCCGAACAACAAAATCACTAGTCTTCCAGACGGCCGGGCCGCCGGATGTTAGCTGGAGCCGGGTAGTTAGTCGGGCGTCAGTCGTGCCGCCATCTCTAGTGTGTTAGTTGAGCCGCCGACGAAGCTGGGAGCTCTAGCTGGCCACGGTTAGCCGTGCTACCCCAGTACCACACGGATGCCAGCTACAAACAGCAGCTCGAGTGAGTCACAATCTGGCCACCGCAGGCAACACAAACGGCTGCAGACCACGCCCCGACAGCCGGGGTTTCCACAGGGGTGACCGCTTGTCGGCTCTCACCATTTTTGCAGGAGGAAGTGCGCCATCTGGATCTGCTCAGCCGAGCCGCTGATGGTGACGATGCGCTCCACCTGGCCGTCCTTGACGTCGTCGATGTTGATCTGCGCGCCCGAGTCGGCGCGGATTTTGCGGATCCGCGCCCCGCCTTTGCCGATGATGGCGCCGGCCGCCTGCGGCACAGGTCATGTCAGGTCAGTCGGCAGGTCAGACCTCATGCGGCGGGGTCAGATCCGGTGCAGGGTCAGGAGACGCAGTGCGGGTCAGGGGTCGTGTCGTGTCCACCGCGGCAGCAGTCCGTTAGCTGCTAGTCTACTTCAAGGTAGCATGGTCAGACGCATAGCAGTTCTCATCAGCGCGCTCGTGGGTCATTTGCGCTCCTCTCCAGTCCACTGAGCATGATGAGGCAAAAACGCGGCCCTGCCGCCCGCCACGTCACTGGGGCCTGCCAATCATCCTTCAAGACCAGCAGCCGACAAGCGAGGGCCGGCAGCCGTGCGGACGTGCCGACCTGCGGCATGCTCGCTCAGATACAGCGGCCATGTCACACCTAGAGTGGATGGACCATTTTGAAAACGACTTTCTCTTTCCGGTCATTTAAACACCAGCATCGAATGACGAAATGTCGAAAGGCTGTCGCTATCGATGCCGATGTCGATGTCGGTCAGACGTTTTGGTGACCACATCCAGCTCAGAATTTTTGGAGGATGTGAGTCAGTTCCATCGAATGGCAGCACTCAAAAGCAGAACATGTGCAACTTCGACCAATGTATCCCCCGGGTCGCTGGCATGGATTAACTTTGGTCGCCTTGATGATGATCCCTTGATGGAAGAACCTGTCGTTACCCGTGAGGTTTTAAAATCAATCCCAACTAGTCGCTGGAATCGATGACAGGTCTATCAATCATCAATGGCAACTCCGTTGAGAGCCTTTCGCTGCCCGGGCATCTGGCCGATCGACACAGCCTCTAAAAACGGACACCAGTCACGACCTCTGTTGGCCGGTGCCCCCCCCCCCCCCTCCCCCTCCCCCTGCCTCGCCCAGCCGACACAGCCGGTGAAGAAGGACACCAGTCACGACCGTCGCTGGCCGGTGTTCCCCTTCCTCTGCTCCTGTTTCGCCTCAGCCGACACGGCTTCTGAAGGACAGCAGCCACGACCGTCGCTGGTCGGTGCTCTCCCTCCCTCTCCCCCTGCCCCGCCTCAGCCGACACAGCCGCTGAAGAGGGCCACCAGTCACGACCGTCGCTGGCCGGTGCTCCCCTCCCTCTGCTCCTGTTTCGCCTTAGCCGACACGGCTTCTGAAGGACAGCAGCCACGATCGCCGCTGGCCGGCGCTGCTCTCCCATCCTTTCCCCCTGTCCCGCCCCAGCCGACACAGCGGACGCCGGCTGGTCCGAGCTGGCACCGCTCACCCCCTTGGGCACGGAGAACTGCTGCGTCTGCTGGTCGCCGCCGCTGACGGCTGGCACGGGCGTCAGGCTGGTGGAGGACGCCGGTGCGCTGAAGTCCATGCCGCCCGGCGGCAGCTGGTTCACCTGGCCGGCCATGCCGTACCCCATGTTCATGCCGCTGTCAGCCACGCCCATGCCTATGGCGCCGCGACCGTACCTGCGAAAGCGTGCTCATCAGGTACGGCCCGATGTGTGCCGCTGAGGAAAAGTCATAAAGGCAATGCTTTACGGGTGGTTTTGGGCTTTATGCCATTAGGCATAATCAGGTTTTAAATAAACCCGTACTTCCTGTCTGAACCAGGGAATGTTCGACAACTGTTGCCAACCCTGATCGCTCCAAGCGCCCCAAACCAAAAACAACTTCGCCTAGCGAAGTAAGAGTCTGCACAAGTCTGGGTTTAGCTTGGTCGTGAGCGTCGCCCTCAAAGCGCGATAACGCACTGTTCAACGTTACACCGAGGCACCACTCACCCGCCACGGGCGCCCGTCACGCCGCCAACGCCGTAGGCACGAGCGCCGGCCATGGCGGCCATGGCGCCACGACCGGGGAAGCCGGCGCGCCCCAGGGCGGCCTGCGGCCCGGCCCGACCGCGGCCCTCTGAGAAGCCCCCGTATTCCGAGGCGAACACCTCGTCGTAGTGGACCGGGTCGTACGGGTTGACGAGGCCCTTGGGCGGGTTCTGCGGGAGAGCGCGGTGAGAGGTTGAGTGGGCCGGACGAGCGCGTGCGACGGTCCATCCTGAGGCGCTGCTCCGCATCGGACAGTTCGGGCTCCGATCGGTCGCGAGCCAAAGCCTGGATTGGTTAGGCGCTGAACGGATATTGGGCTGCATGGGCAACAACGCACGTGCTTAGTCGTCTTTCGCCCAAGGTAATGACAGGAGGTCCAAGGGAAACTCTGGGGTGCTTCCGGGGCGGCATGGACTGCGTCGGCGCGGTGTCTCACCTCAGCCATCCGGGGTGGTATGGACAGCGACGGCGCGGTGTCTCACCTCAGCCAGCAGCGTCAGGATGCGGCCCAGACACTGGAGCACGCTGGCACGCGGGCCCGATATCTGCGTCACCCGGTCCGTGGACTGTGGGCACGGCTCCGTGTACACCCGCACCTGCGTGCCCGTCTCCTGGGGAGGCCGCACACGCTGTTACAAGGACGCGCCGAAACGTGATTACACGGCGGGAGCTGACGGTAAAACGGCTTCGTCTTCTGCTTCATGAGCAGAAATTATCACACACCCGAACACACGTTCAGTCACATTAATAAATATGGAAACGTTCGCATGTTGTGATGATTACGCGGCACAGCAAGGTTTGTTGAAAAAGCACGAATCGGAACAGAAGACTGGTGGTAGTGTCGTGTCATTCTGTATTGGACAGTCCAATAATAAATTCAAAAGAGCAAGACAAGGGACCGGAAATCAGGGCCACTAGGCCTCAGCGTTGAATGTGCAACACAAGCCAAGTCGCTTATTAGCATACTTTCGGGCGTATCGGACGAGGAGCTTTGGTCGCAGGCTACAACTCCAGTTCCTGAGAATCTCTACGCTCGCTGTAGGACGTTCTCTCTCGTCGTCCATCATTCCACTCATTTCCAGCGTCCCTCTGCCACCCGCTATTTCCCGTTAGCCGTTATGTGGGTTACAACGTTAAAAAAGCGGCTGCGCTTCCGCGCGAGGGATGAAATCACTGGGAGCATATCGATTGTTGGCGGCCACCCCCCGTCGGCCAGGTGGCACAATTAGTCGGTTCCAGAGGGCGGGTGGCTCGGAATCCACCCGCTGGGAGGCGTGAGCGCTGCCAGTCGGGACAGCCCGGCAAATTGAATCGGGGCAGAGTTTGAGCAGCTCAGGGAGTTGCGGCGTCGCGGGCTCGGTGGGCTGCTGGCTGCTGCAGCCTTCTCAGGCTGTGTGTTCAGCTATCGCGGAGGAAAGCTGCCTTCTCAGGACGCATTCATATTCCCTGCATGTGGTCTGACTGCCGGAGCCACTGCTGAGCCGCCTCACCGCGCGACTCGGCCGTCCAATTTAGCAGTATGTTGGCTGTCCGGGGACACGGCTTCGTGGCGTATGCCATCGATTTCCGACATCGTTAGGGCCGAAGTAATTAGATGGTCTCAGCGCTAGCGTGGGCGGACGGGAGGCCTGGCTGTGATCGGGAGGGGTGGAGGTGCGACACGAGCGGGCGATGCGGCCGCGCGGGCACCAACGGACCTGAACCGTGGCTCCGGAGATCACGGAGCGGTCACGGGGAAGGCATGATCTCGGTGGCAGCAGCACGGAGAAGATTTACGAGCCACGAGAGACGCTGCAGGCACTCCAAACCGCGCCAGAGGGTCGGCCTGGGCCAGACAGGCGCGCGCGAGGCCGGCTTAATGCCCCGGCGGCCGCCTGCCACGAGCAGGTAATCCCCCCCTCCCCCACCAGCAGCACCTCGGGCTGGCCTGCCGGCCGCCGGCCGCCGCTCGTGTCACGCTAATTAATGATGAGGTCAGGCGGCGTAGACGGCGGCGGCGGCGGCGGCGGCGGCGGCGGCGGTGGCGCGGCGGCAGAATCAATACGACCGGGCGGCGGGCACCCACCTCGCGCAGTTCCTTGATCTTGAAGCCGGAGCGGCCGATGATGCTGCCCGCCTGGCTGGTGTGCACCAGCAGCCGGAGTTCGCCCTCGGTCGAGTCCGGGTCGCGGCCGGGCACCTGCGGTGGTGGCGGGCACCGTCAGAGAGCGCCGGTGCACCGACGGTCACCGCCCGATGCTGAAGAGGCCCTCATGTCCACTGGAAATAGCTCGGACGTTGTGCAAACCAGAGACCAACACCACACCATCGTCATGGATGTAACCACGTCCTTAGTGTTTCTGGGGTCCTTGTCTGGTTGGGCGTCAGTTTGCATGTTCAAAATGCAAAAGTGGTCAAATTTCGCCAAAAATACGGAAGTTTGGACCACACCGAAGCCACTGGAGTTTCTGTTAAGCTCAATGTACCACACTTTACATTGCCGTAATACTGATGAAACGTCACAACGTACCTAAAAGAAGATAGCAATGCAGCGTATGTACTATGCAATGTGATGTATGTTTACGTGTTAAGTGATATTCCCACGTCTGTTTCATTACTCGTCCGTCGCGGTTGCGGCGGAACAGGCTGTCCTTCGGCGACAACTCACATCGTCCAGGCTGGGCAAGAGATCCTCGACGATCTTCAGCGTGGTGTCGCGCTCGGCACCGATGTTGACTACACTGCGGACGAAGAGGTCTGGTGAGCGGCCCTTCGCCCCCCCCCCCCCCCCTCCACACGTCTTCCTCGAACATTCCCAAACGCACACATACACACACGCGCGCGAGCGCGAACCTATCGGGGCCAGCTAAACTATCGCACACGAGTCACAGAGCAGACAAAGCCACGGTGCAAATAATGGGTGATCGGAGACGCAGTGTTGAGAAAAAAGTGCAGTTGATGACAACGTACGAAACTAACCAAAATCGGAAGGAACTACTGAGAAACAAACCACCATAGGCCGAGGTATGGCGCGGATTCATGTGCACAGGGGCTGCATAGCATCGCATTGTACACGGGTTACGCGGCTTATAGTGTTGGTTACAGTTGTCAAAGAAATAGTTGCTAATAAGCTTCCAAATGTAACAAGGCACAGGCACTGACTATCATTTAAAATATCACTTCATAATTAGGCTACAGAAAGCACCCTAAAGCAAGGAAAACGCGTTAAAATCGTTCTACAGACTCATCTTTGCTGGAAGCCTCTCAGCAATCCAGAACAATTAGTATGAGATAGGCAACCGGAAGAAGCTTTATGGCACCACCAGCCAACACAAAACACTCTCAATAAACAACTCGGTGGTCGCCAGGCATGCCCAAGACAGCTGGATACGACCAAACCAGGGCAAACACGCATCAGGCGCAACGACAACAGCCGTGAGGGTCATTACCGTTCCGGGCCCAACGTGTCGGGGATTGAAATTGTGGCACCGTTCTGTTCCCGGGGCGCGCGGGCCCACCAGCCCGGGGCACCACCCACCCGACGGGGCCGGGGGCGTGGCGGCACGGGCGGCGCAGGCGACGCGGGCGGGGCGGGGCGGGAGCAGACGGCGAGAGAGAGAAAGAGAGCACAGCGTTAATGTCGGGTCCGGAGGGCGGAGACCCGCCGGCGGCCCGCTCATAAACGAGTCGTGACAAACACGGTGGAAAACGGACGAGGGATCGCTGGGTGAATTTGGTGATGACGTCTTTTGGTTGGCTTCCTTGATCGTGAAATGAGCCAAAATTTAACAAGGCAGAAGGAGGCTGCAGACAATGACCTCAAGGACGAGGCTTGCAGGTAGATTAAGTTGTAACAACTCGTTTATGCAACACACCCCAGATCACTAACATCACAGTGACGGCATAGTGAAACACACATCGCGCTCAACGATCGAGACAACGGCTGTGGTCCGGAAAAGCTCGCCGCTTGGACTCAGCTACAAATTACACCATTCGTCAGAACCGCACAGTGAACATGGGCGTGCGCGCGGCACGAGCCGATGGGGTGAGACGCTCACCTGCTCGCGCAGCCGGTTAATGTTCGAGCCACCCTTGCCAATCACCGAGCCGGCCGCCTGGAACAAGCCGAGCCTCGTCAGCAACGCGCTGTCGGGTCTGGCGGGTCAGATTCGGCATGGAGGGCGTCACGCTCGTCACCCAGGACGCGCGCGGTGCTGCTCGCACTCGATCGAGACACCGGCTGACGCATCTGGCCCAGCGCCGAGCACGTCAGTAGCACGGTGGCCAGACCGCTGGACCCGACACGGACGCCGCTGAATTACTCCTCGTCGGTCTGCTGGCCAGATTGGTTAGAAAGAAGGCTGTCACTCGCAGCACTAGGCATGCCACCACGCAGTCGACAAATGCGCGCGCAGCGACTCGAAGTGGCCACCATGGGGCAGGGGCGCGCGCCCGCGTCATTACTCAGCCGGTGATGAACGACGCGACGAGGAGCGTCTGCCGGCCAGCCGGTGGACACGGGCGGACGGTCGGCGGGCCGGGCGGCGGCCGCGGCAGCCGCCCTGCGGGCAGGCCTGGCCCGGACGGCCGGCCGTCAGAGGCCCGCCGCGCCGCGCGGGGCCACCCAGCTGATATTGATCCGCACCGCGCGGGGGCGCCGGAGGGGACGCGTCTTCAGCATACGCACACGCGCGCGTTCGCGCCACGCGCCCGGACGCTGTCTCACGCACGCACTCTCAGCGGCGCTCGAATTCGCGCACACCCTCCCGCATATGCACACACACGCATGTGCCTACTGGTGGGAGGTGGGTATATTTTCGATTGGCAATGGTACTTTTGCTGCCCTTCGAGTAGACTTAAAGGGAAAAGTCTACATTTGAAGACATTAAAACAAGCATCAGATACGATAAGATGCATTGGTATACTTTTAAGCGGAGAGGGCTGCTCTAGATCACACAGTTCTTCCATTTAATAAACATGGTCTTCAATGAATCATTGTTTGATTGCGTCATCGTACCGTGCACACCATGGATTGAGAGCCAATCGACGCCTGTCATGCCAGGAAATCGTGCTCACGAATGCCAAATATGAGAGACTCCACACTTATAATTTTGTTGGCCTTGATCGCCACATGACCAATGAAATGACAAGATTTGAGTGACGTTATTATGGCGTCATGAATGTCCGGTGGCCTTGGAATATTATATATGTATATATATATATATATATATATATATATATATATATATATATATAATACGGAAAATAGTCTGCATCGAAAAGTCTGTACATCTTCGCGGGCGTGTAGCTTAGAAGCTAGAGAGGCTTAGGTCTTAAGAAGGGCAGGGCTGTGAACTGCATCAAATGATCTTCAAAATGGCTACTTCAGTTGAGAACTCCATGCAAATGTGGAGCAATCTTTTTGAGGATTCGGATTTAGTAGAATTTGAATAGATTCGAATAGATTAAAAGCCCGCGGATCAATAATTCCTAAAACAATGTGGCGAACCCGGTAATTCTGGATTGGAATTAGGAAAAAAAACATGCCGAGTTGTGAAACACATTATTTAGATATATTACTCCAGAAACATACCGTCGGTAATGGCACTCATATCCTCCAATTTGCCTACCTGGTTATCATTGTTCTAATTGAAACTTTAATGGGTTATTATCAATGCTGGGGTACGGTCCGCCTAACGTATGAGTGAACGTATTTGCCATAAGTCTGACATACGATTTAGTAAACTGCACGGCACATCTACATCTAGATACGGCACATCACATCTAGATACGGCACATCACATCTAGATACGGCACATCACATCTAGATACGGCACATCACATCTAGATACGTCTTTTGAAGATGTATGCCAGCGTGTGACAGCAATATCTGAACAAAGTCTTTCAAAAACTGTCCGTAAAAATACAGTTATTTTTCAGACATCAGAAAGTTCCAATGATGATCGGCAACGGGAAATTGAGTTTTATGAATAGAAGCACCCCAGAACGTCTCCCATTCATCAAACATACAATGCTCCATGGTATGATGTGACAAATACAGCTGCAGTTGTTGCACTTGTGCCTGACTCCAGCGTGAGATGCCCTCATGATAACGCTTAATCTCACGACGAATAAGGGACTGACGCTTATCTGCATCAAGCTTTTACTAGCTGCATTTTTCTTTGATCGCCGACGTTCGCGTCCATGAATCATAGTTTTGGTAGAAAAGTCAGAGGCCATTTCTCACTTCTTTTAAGAAGGTCACATTCCTGGGTTTTAGCGAGGCGCCAAGACTCGCGGCCACCTACCATCAATCGTCAAGATGGCGTCGCATGACGGACCGTCATCCGACGGAACGATCTCAGCTGTGACGGATCATGCTCAGTCGTTCCCACTCAGCTCTGGCCGCCGTCCACGTGGGGAGACCCGTAACCGTTGCCCAGTCCTTCCCACTCAGCCCTGGCCGTCGTCCACGCGGGGAGACCCGTAACCGCTGCCCAGTCATTCCCACTCAGCTCTGGCCGCCGTCCACGCGGGGAGACCGGTAACCGCTTCCTCACCAGGCCCGGATAACTCGCGATGACCGGCCTCACGTCCCGGTCCGCTTCAACAGCGGCGAAGCTGCCCAGCCAGCTCCACCCACCACTGTTGGCAGCTTAAAAGCCGACTTAATCCAGACCACGACGCGACGTGACGTGTTCAGAACCCTTGTCGGTAAAATAACAACATTAGCTTAACGCCGTGCATTCGCTTCTATCTGAGCTGGCGGAAAGAGGACACATGGGCAGCCATCGCGCTTTTGTAACGGACTTTTTACTGCCCGGCGTGATGGTCAGACTAGTGACGGCGTCACTCGCTCCAGTCCTGGCCAGTAAACCACAGATCCGTATTCAAAGTTGAAATCTCCTATCTCCTAATATATCATTGCGAAAAATGTGTGTATCAAATATAAATGATCCGCACAACTGTGTCCGCGCGTACAGCAACACCAGCAAATGTATTGTACTCCAGTGAGCCTTCGGATATTTCCGGCATGAGGTGACTCGCCTTACATGCCACCTGCGAAAGAAATTATTCAGAAAAACAAGCACATAACGGGACGTGCCATGTGCGACGTTGGCAACAGATAAGAAGCATATATGTCACCGCACGAGGGTTGGATTTAGTAGGCCAAACTAATCAGGGAATGCGAGATCATCTTGCAATCCTGTTACTTGGCTGGGGTGAGGCCGCATTATATTACGCTGAAACTGACGTGTCCAAGGAAACTATTGGATCTCATTAATGATAGCAGTCCGCTAGTGTGAAACCAAGAAGTCATTGTTCTAGTTTCCGGCAAGCAGACGGCTCGGTTTGAATGGCCTGTTTCTAAGGAGGGTTAGACTGTTCTAAACTCCTTTGTTTGAGGGAAATAGTTACAGAAATACTTGTCTAGTTGACCACTATTCGGAGCATGTGATGCGGCACAGTCTAGGCGGAAAGGTCCGGCTGACGTCACGTCACGTCACGTCACTCGGTCGTGCAGCCAATGGGGTTATGAACGACTAGTACACGGCAACCGGCCACAAGAGAAAACGCCAGAAGGCGCACACTTTTGTTGCAGGCTTGGAGCAGTCGCATTTCTGTTGATTGCAATCAAGTTGAAGTTTAACAGAAGAACCTGCTTGATAGCATAAGACATTGCGTTTAACGCGGTGCGGCCCTGTGAATCAATAGGTGTACTAAGGGGTGCCTCTCCCACCGCACCAGCGCCCATCCAATGTGCCTGCTTTCTCATACCTGGGTCTGCCCATGGTTCCTCCTCTCTGTCAGCCTCTGACCGTGCTCTGCTCAGCTGCCCCCCCCCCCCCCCCCCAGATCAGTACCCCAAACACCCCTCTGAGCGACTTTCTCTCAGGTGGTGCCCGTTCCGCGCCACCTGGGTGGGCGTGTGCCCGCCATGTGTGCTCAGGTGGACGCCACTCACCCGGCTGCTGATGAGCAGGCGCAGCGACATGTCCTGCGGCCGGTAGCGTTTGGTGGTGCTCATTGTCTCCTCGCCCGCCAGGCTGCGCTTCATACCTGCCGAGGACAGAGTCGGCAGGAGGGGTTAGCGGTGCCGGTCCCACAAGTTCGCGTGGTACGCTTTAACGCCACCAGGGCACGGGCATCGGGGACGATACTTGAACGCGACAGTACGCGGTAGAGTGATCAAACTGAGGCAACTGGAGTGGAGGAAGGGTCAAGAGGAAGCTGTCTGAGCACTCCAACGTGTCGCAGGAACGTGGGCGGCTGCTTGGACGGAGAAGCCACAACGACGACCTGACAGTGGGAAGGCGTTCAGCGGCAGACCGTTTGGAAGATCTCCAAGACCTTGTGGTAGGCGCATCAGAACACGTCTTCCACCCAGTCTGACGATTACGACAGCATCCTACAGCCACAACCGGAAACGCCGCAGACACAAACGCAGCCGAAATGAAATATCCGACCGGGCGGGCTGGATGTCAGTACCAATCACACAGCAATCGAAGCCTATCATTGTTGCACGACTGACAACCAACCCCACTGCAGTCGGTTCAGCACTACCGACATACGCCACACAGCTGTCAACAACCAACCGCACTGACAGGTTCTCCACCGTACTGTCGGGAACCCGGCATCACACATGCATCCACATATGCCGCGAAGAGCCGAGCATCACCAACAGACGCGCCCCAAAACACCAATATCGACATCCAGCACCGGTGGCACAATCAGCACTGACACCGACAATTGACATCACCGACACACCAACATCAACACCAACACCAACACCAACACCGACGTCGTCGATCAGCTCCTACGGCAAATCCCACACTTCCACTGGGAGCCCGTCACGGCCTCCCAGGCCGGTGCGGGCCGGCCGGCCCCGTACCCGTCCGGCTGAGGGGCGCGCGTGCAGCACTGGGACCGGGGCGGTGCCGCTCCCGGCCGCCGTCGGCGCCGACGCGGCGCTGTGACGTCACGACGGCGCGTATAATCGATAGGACGCGCGGCCATCGATATCGGCCAGACGGCGGTGGCGGCGGAGGCCCGCGCCGCGACGCCGGCCGCCAACCGTCCGGACCGCGGGCGGGCGCGAAATTCCGCCGACGGTGGCGGCGAGGTGTCGGGGAACACGACAAAACCACACGGCAGACTGCCAGCCCCCGGCCTGCCAGCATCTCCGCCGACTGAAGCCGGCAGCTCACAGGCGTTGTGATGCTGTTAACACCAGCAAGTTTGCTTGCTATGGCACTCTGGTATTGCACGAATGCAGTCCAGGCCTCGCAATGCACACCACCAGCCTTTTTGGACGGCTCATGGACGACAAGATATTCCATCTAATTCTATGGGTCTCTCTCTCTCTCTCTCTCTCTCTCTCTCTCTCTCTCTCTCTCTCTCCTCTCTCTCTCTCTCTCTCTCTCTCTCTCTCTCTCTCTCTCTCTCTCTCTCTCTCTCCTCCTCTCTCTCTCTCTCTCTCTCTCTCTCTCTCTCTCTCTCTGAACAGGTGGTTAGCGCAGTAGTCCCCCATAGGGGAGCTCGGGCTCAAATCCTGATCGCGTTATGGGCCCTAAGTGCTGGTATGGCCAATGTAGTAGCTGGTCCTCCATAAAAGGAGCATGTCAAAGTGGGTCGCGTTTCCTTTTAATGCATCAGCATTGCAGTTACGACATCGCGTTAATATAAACGGGCAAATGTTTAAGAGTACCTCACGTGTGGGCCCAGGCACCACGGAATCATACAGCGATTACGAATAATATATAACTTTTCCCAGCGCCAGAGTACAAACTTTGGTAATAAAACTCCCTAACGTGAAGCAGAAAAATCCTCGGTCATATCGTTTTGTAGCGTCAACATCAGTGTAGGACGTTATATGTGTTACTAGAGTTAGCCAATTATATAAGTCCAGGTGCCCCTCGCCTTCGAGTGCTGCGATGCTTCCGAACTGAAATTGGCGAGATCATGAGCGGGATTCTTGACCCTAGGCTGGCCGGTATTGGAAACGAACCATAAAGAAACCCACTTGAACGCTTTCCACCAAAGACTGCTAATGAGGGTCCTGGTTTCCGCAGCTGGTGAGCGACCGACCGGCGACCGCCCGGACACCTCGCGCCGCGCTCCGGACATACGCAGGCTGCCACCACCGGCTGCTATCCTGGCTTGAGTCCAATCCAAGGCAGCGGAGCCACTTAAGTCTGGGCTGTGGGTCGGAGAGGGGGGTGGGGGTTGCTGCAGCGGATGTGGGGAGGCCCTCCGCCCTTGGTCGTCACCACGGGCGCGGGCGCAGGCGTGGCGTCCAGCTGAGGGGGCGGGATGTCACCATGGTCGAATGACGTAGATTGAAGTCGTGTATGATAGTGGTTTGAAAGGCTTACACACTGTTGGAGACATGGTGTTATGCTATTTGCAACGCCTGACATTGAATATCGCCATGTTTCCTGGCAGTGGTTCCAACAACTTTTTAATTAACTTTCTTGGAAATAAAGTCATGCAAAATCGCTAGATGTTTCACTTGGTTCATTGTCTCTTGAATTTCTTGCAGCGTAAAAAGGTTCTCAGTGGACATTTTTTATGAGATATCTACAATAGTAGTCAGCTTAGCACGAGCTCATCCCAATGACGGCAATTTCGTGTTAGCGAGATTGAGGCACCCGTGGTAAAGCACCCTGGGGTTGAATTTCAAAAAGGCCTGCTACGATTCGAACAGTGAATAAAACTTCCAGCAAATGTTGCTATCTTAAAACCATAGCGAAGCCACATAAGTTATCCAGACCTTGCTGAACTCCCATAAATAACGGCAGCATGCTTGAGTACCTTACGAGTGCATTGGGTCGGTAGATTTTCCGACAGGCAGTTATGGAAGTCGATTCCATACGTTCTCAGGATGCATTGAACACTTCCGTCAGCTGTTGGCTGGCGAGAATAACGTGTTACAGCGGGCACAAGGGCTTACGACCTTTTGCTTAACCTAACCATGATCGTTTAGTGGAAGCTCATGTTTCTAAAGGCGGCTCTGCGTGCAGTACCAACACAGCTAAGTTTAAGACAGTAATATTGGCCTTATTCCTCGGAAAACCCAGGAGAATGGAGATATAGTCAGGTTAACCTAGCTGTATCTCTATTCTCCTCTTTTGGGAAAAGGCTAATAATACTGTCTTATCTATGTGAATAATGTTCCTCGCTAATGCACTGAACAATTTACAGTTTTGTTTACTCGCATTTGGTGTCAGATTAAAGAAACGTCTGATTTGTCCTGAAAGCGGCTAATGTGTCACTTTAATCTGCCCTGCCATGCTCCGAATTTTCAGGGACCGAAAGCACAGAGCTGTGAACAAGCTGACGCAAGCCTAACAAAAGCGAATGTTTCCGACTCAACGAATCGGAAGTCTCGCCGATCAGGCCGGTTTCCTACTGTATTGAACAACCCGAAGTAACATGACGCGTTCACCAAGCTGAAAGCGTAAAAAACGGAAGCACGCAGGAAGCTAGTGTGATAGAGACCGACAAAAAACACACGAGCCAAAATTGCAGAACGCTTCAGCGTTCAAATCAGCAACGTTCGCGAACGCCAGGACTGCACTGCTCGGCTCAGCTGAGGACGCCGCTACTGCAGCGTGAGCCAATCGCGTGCGGCACACCCCGCCCGCCGGGCACCAGCTCACCCGGCGTGCCTACCTGGTCAGCCGGCGGCGGCCGGCCGCTCCGGGTCCCGTGCACCAACTGGCCACGGGCCGGCGGGCAGGGCCGCGACGACCCGGCGTCGGCCGGCAACAAGTCCACAACACCGGACCGCGGATCGACCGGCCAGTGCGGCCGTCACTGGGCCCCGCCCGACGCTGCCCGCCTGTTTGCGTGTTGAAGCGGTTGTCATGGCGATCGCTGCGGGCCGCGAAGCGCGCTGGTGCAGCCGCTTCGCGGTACGCGCCGGGCCGCGCGCCGGACCACGCCTCGGGCCGGCACCCGGCCAGGACATTTTGAGACACTGAGGCCCGGCGCGCCTCCTGCCCACCTGCCAGGGCATTGGTATTCTCACCGTAAGACTGCTGCTGGCGAAAGTTTCACGATGGCAGTCGACCGTAAGCCCGCGCCGGCGCAATTTCCTGATTAAACTTCCGGGATCTAGTGCAGGCGTCTTATCTCAACATCCGGACGACGATCTTCATCGGCGGCACATCCGGCCACCGCTGCCGCCCACGTGACCTTTGCAGGCCAGGCGTGCTTAGCAATTGCCCTCTCCCCGAGCTCGCTTTCTTATGTCTCTTTCCTCTCTGGACGGTACCTATTGGGACTGGCGGCAGCTGGTGCCCTCAATGCCCTACCACGTCCTGATCTTAGACTGTGCCGCATCTCACCGCTGCATGGCGGTTCAGCATGTACGCAAAGCAGCGTCGTACGTCGCACAGGCGCGTGGACACCATTTTCATTGTTTCCATAGCCTTGGCATTTTCCACGACAGCACTCGAGGGCCTAGGCAGAGACCAGATTACGACCCTCACGTCAGAAATTGTTCAGATTTGGAGGGCCGACAGGCCACACGTTCGTTGTATGTCCAATGCCGCAGTGTTACACACGCAACATGATGTAGTGCGCCCCATCTGCACCGTTTGTCCTCTTCCCAGCTGCGTGGGCCCCCAGCAGCTGCGGGATTCAGAGCCGTCCTGGATTTCATGTGCGCAGCTGTTTAGGTTGCCGTCTCAGCAGGGTCAACGAGACGGCCAACACCTCATAACGGCATGATGGAGATGGCCTTTGTGAACTCTGCGAGATGGCGGCCACTGGCTTTCATCCCGTCCATCTCCTCAGTGCCCCGGTAGAACTAATTTAAAGGCCAGGGTGCTACCCCGCTGCTTGGTGTGTTGCTTTGAGTGGACCGGACAGTGCCTCTTCCCTCTCCCCACCCAAGCCCATCTCCGCCCCCCCCCTCCCCCGCCCCGAAGTCCCCCGTAGCTTTTGAACGCTGTGCGCGTGCTTGGTCCTCCTCCTTGGCCTCAACGGCGAGTTGCAGTCTTTTACGAGATTTTCGAGACCGTCAGTGTTTTTTTCCGTGGAAATCTCAGTTG